CTCGCTTGGTGCAAACCCTGGCAGTGAAAACGGCAGTGCGAGTCATTTATATAGTTACATATTATATATATATATATATCACATCTTATCACTGGTTCTACTACTCATGCTTGCTTTAACAATGACGCGGTCATGTCCCAGGTGGTGGGATCGCCGACGTGGTCATCGACCTCTTCCGCACCTGGCAGCTGAAAGATCCGCATAGCTTCGTGGACGTCTTCGGGTCATTGGCCACACCAACACGGGCATGCCTCGTCTTGACTGAGGTGCGATGACGGTCTGGTGCCATCGCGTTTGTAGGCCATCGCCACTAGGGTGGAGGCCTAGTCTTGACTGAGGTGCCATCGCTATTAGGTTGGAGGCCACACATGTTGACACATGGTTGGCACCTGTTGATGGGCTTTCATTCTTCGTTTGCTTTAACGTCCCGAGGGACGAAATCGGACGAAACATGTTTCTCCTAAAAGAAGTGAACGGGTTGTGGGTGCCGCGCTCTTGCCCAGTTCTGCGAGGCCGCGCTCTTGTTGTCTTTCTTTTTGGCATGTTCACTGCCATCAAGTTTGTCCACTCAGCTAAGCTGCTGCAAGCAGCATGTGCCTTTCGAGGACTGTCACACGCTGCATGAGGCCATTGCTATTAGGTTTCAGGCCATCGCTACTAGTAACAAGAAGCTACTAGGGGCTCCTGGCCTTACTACTAGGAGCGATCGGACGCTACTAGGGACTCCTGGCATCGCTACGAACGGAGCATTCTTACTACTATAGTAACAAGAAACTACTAGTATTTGAGGACACTGCCAGTTCTCCGCCTGAACTCTCATTCACGAGGACGATGAGAGTGGATTAGCCCAGTCGCCGACACGAGGACGTCGTCGTTTCTTTCTTTTGACCTGGTGAATGTACATAGGGGACTCAGGAAGCTCGCAGATCCATTTGAGCGTTTTGTGTCAGGCGCGTCATTGCGCAGCACTATCCGGGACAATATGTCCATTTTGCCTCATGACTGAAGATAAGTGCCAGGGCTCGTGTCAGGAAGCTGGTCTGTGTAATTAAAATATCAGCGATCAATGCAAGAGTCCTGCAGAAACAAATGGCCCAGAAATGCTGTTCGGCAGTATGTGGCTAGACTTCAAAATGGAATGCATCGACTCCCTCATAAGATGTGAGATGTGATACACCCCTTCCAAAACGGGGTCGGTCAATTTTGTTGCTTGGGGAAACTGAAGGGTGGTTAACCATTTTTCCTCGCATGTGGAAACGCAATGCAGCAGATCTTGGTAAGTTCATCCTAGGCATGACAGAGGCTTGTGGATGGTGGCAGCCTACTCCACCTGCTTGGTAGGCACGGCCCATCGGGGTGTTTGGATTTGAACTTGGTGTGCAAACTTGAGAGGTACCCGATACCACCCTGGCACCACCCCGAACATGAAAAGCTCAAGAGGCATGCCCGGCAAGCCCTGTTGGAGATCTTCTGGGTGGGATGTTCTCTATCTGAATAGGAGTTTCTTTGAGCCAGCCATATGATTGCAAGCCGAACAGAACCACAGTGCACATTGCCCAAACATCAAGCGTTGATTCCAAGATCAGGCCCGACAGAATCGTAATAGTTCAGCCCACATGTTCCAGCAGGTTGATTTCCTGAGACCAGGGAGGAGCATGTTTTCGCAAGAAAAAAGCACGCGCACAGTGGATGGATGAAATGCTCATCTCCAAGAGGAGTGTGATTAACCTTTCCAAATGGCCTTTCATAGTTTCTGGGGTGATTCAGAGAGAGAGAGACCTGTGTGAGAGAGAGAGGGTCTCTGGATCATGTGGCACGCTATGTGACACACTTGCGATACTGAGGTGTCAAAGCACAGTGGCATCACATGAATGCCACGATGCCGAAATATTTGGTTCGAGAACTGGGGGAAGATGTGCCTTGGTTTCGCTGGCCTCCAACCTACTAGGAAACTCAATAGGAATGGCCTCCAATCTAAGAGCAATGGCCTCCAACCCAATAGCTTCCAACCTAGACACATTGGAAGCACACATGTTCAACAGCACGCTTTACGGTCTCATGTTTAGTTGCTCTACTGTGCTTGAAAAGCACCGTTTCCTTAGAGGAAACACGAATTTGATATAATACAAGATGCCCAGTTAGCTGCGCAGAGCTCTGCGTGCAGTCAGCTCATGATCATGATGAAAGAACTCGTGCAGTCAGCTCCCTTCGCATACCTTGAGGCACCCTGGGGAACTGTGAATAGCATCAACTACTGGATTTGCGCATTGCTTCCTCCTGTGGTAACTCTTGCCACAGCAAAGTGGAGGACTGTTATTTCGGGTCCCTGTTTGTCTTTCATTGCGATGTTTTGTCATTGCGAAGTGTCAAGAGTCAGTATCAACCACATGCGACTTTCACTTGATCCACCTCCTTGATCCACTCAGTAAGCCAAGATCCACGTCTCAAAGAGCTTTCTTGTCTGGCTTTCTGTTTTTTCTGGTTCAACCATTTGTGCGATGTCGAAGGCATCCCTCCAGCATTTGGGACGTCGCGAGACATGTTTTGTTGGATCCGATCGTGTCCTTGGTGCATTCAGGAATTTTCCTGCGATCTTCCTGGGCAGCGCACCTGAGCCGCGCAAGCCATGCATGTCGCATGCAAAGGGGGTCTGGGATCAAGCAAGACAAATTGGGTTTCACAAATCCCAGGGAGACGTTTAGGCCACGACTTGAACGATTTGAAGCACAGTGAAGACGTTGCGTTGCTTCAAGCGGATGAACTCTGCATTCCTGCTCTAAGTATATACTTGTAGCGAAGAAAGAAAAGAACAGACAATTAATCAAAGAACGGAAAGATACCTTGAATGAGAACGATCTAGAGGTCCAAAGAAAACATGACCAAGACATGTCTATATATATGTCTGAAAAAAAAGGGGAAAAGGAGGAAAGAAAGATCTAATGTCTTTCAAACAAAAAGAAAGGAAAGACCGGTCTAAAGGTTAGAAGCACGGGAGAGAGTGGAGCCATAATCACAGTAACAGTCTTATCCGGATTCATGACGTGATATTTTAGGCTCAAGGAACGACAAGCGCTTCTTTCGAAGTTTCATTGGGTTAGCCTCTGTACGGTCTTCAGCTGGTACGGCTCCATCTCGACCATAGTCCCTTTTTGCAAGAAGTCTATGCGCGTCAATCGAATCTTCGGCTTGCATTGTGTATGCGCTCCGGGTGCCGCTATATCGACGTCGAACAAGCAGAAGAGGCCTTGGGAGCAGTTTGCAGATTGGGAGCAGGCTGAAGATGGTTGCTGAGCAACACTCAGGACCCGGTTGGCACTACTAAAGGAATATGTGTGAGGATGGATGAACATGTATTGACGTGCTTTGAAGCCTTTTTAGGTGCCAGTGCAACGGCCAAAGTGCGACAAGGGCGGGGGATTACAAAGGCAGATGTCTAGAGTCTAGTGATCCCCACTCTTGCATTCCATGCGGTATTTTTTTCTGACGCTCTTTACTCTGACATTCTTTCTTGCACATATTCCGACAGTAGTATCTATCGGGCGTATATTTTGCAGTTCTATCTGGCATAGCTGCTGACCTTCTTTTTGGCATTCTTTCTATCTGGCTCAGGTCCGGTGGTGCCCACTGCGAGAACACGTGTTCTTTTCCCGACAAGATTTGCACGGTAATCGACAAGATTTTCCATATACACGACAGAAACGAAGTTATGTTTGACAAAGACTAGGGGGTAAGGTCCGACAGAGACGTTACTTGGTTGCTGTTGGGGTTTAGAGGCTGTGTGACGTGTGACACTGACCGCGACTGTTGAGGTTTCACCCGGTCTCACCGATGAATCATTTCTCAGTGATTTCTTATGTCTTACACAGAAGCATCTAGATCAGTGATTTCTTATGTCTTACACAGAAGCATCTAGATTGTAAGCTGACCTGAAAATTTCGATTTTTTCAGTTAGATATTAAACACATGTAACTAAATAGGTGTCACTTGCGTGGAAAGAGAGCAATGCCGACGCCCGCTGATGCACATGTGAAGCCCAAGGACAAGCCCAGACTTGGGTCTAAATTTAGATGGAGGAAGCCTGTAAGAAGTCTGCAATCGGCAGTTGTGGCTACTCTAGAGTATTTTCAGTGACGGCAACAGTCTCGAGGAGATGGCAGAGAAGCCAGCGGACGACAAAGAGGCTGAACCAAACGAAGAACATCCTTAATTTAGTCTTGGACGTCGGGTAAAAACCCTGGATGTTGGTTCATTGTATGTGACATGGTTCAGGTGAAGTCTGCGTTTTTTTACGTTTTTTCCTTTCGCACGCCATCAGAGGGAGAGATGCTGCTGCACGCCGTTCTTTACGTTTTCTTAACGCTTTTTATGCTTTTTTTCCTTTTCCACAGGATCACAGGGAGAGACGCTTCTGCACTCCTTTCTTTACGTTTTTTCATGCTTTTTTCCCTTTTCCACTGGTCCATGTCAAGAGCAGCAGAAATCACAAGGTAAAGGGAGACAACGTCGACAGAGAATTTGAGCGGTGTTTGCAAAGTAGCGCGCAACGCTGGTCCTGGTGCGATGTACACATTTCCTCCAAAGCACACTGTTTCTCATGTTTCCTGATTCGCTTTGCATTTGCTGATTTTGTTGCTGTGAAATCTTCAGATAGAGGGCACGATTTAGCTCAAGACTGATGCCTGCGTGTGCCCAACCCCAAACTTGCAAAGCACATCCGGAAACTTTTTTCCTGCAGGAGGTCGACGAGCGAGTGGCCACCATCAAAGCGCACCGGTGAAAAAGCGGCTGCACAGAGTTTGCATTTCCTTAATTGCTCATTCTTATGTTAACGGATGAATTTTTTCAGTAGGTGAAGCTTCGTTCCCTCCCTTCTCAGGTTGTCGGGCTTGTAGCTAGCAACTTTTGTCGAGACTTTGCATTCGTTTTTTGTCGAGCATGAACTGTTTTCTTGTCGAGCTCTTTTTCGGCCAACCTGGTCGAGCTTAAAACACACCCTCCCCACTGCGATCTGGCGCTCGCGCCCGGTGGTGTCACAGCAATTCAGCTCTTGCGGCTGAAACCCGGCGGTGCCCACTGCGATCTAGCGCTCGCGGTTGAGGAGAACGCGGAGGAGGACCGGGACACTTCTGATAAAATCTACTGTAACAACCCTCACCTGGCAGGGCGGGGCAAACAGAAAGTTGTCCAAGGGCAAAAAATTAGGGCAGAAAAGCGACGGTCTAAAGAGGGGAACATGTCCAAAAGGCAAATCCAAGGCATATGAAGACTCAAAGAAACGATAATTGTCTTAAGGGCTAGAAACAAAGTATGAACATGACTAGAAAACACAAGCAGGAATGATTGCCAAACGCATGGATGCACTAAAGTGTCCCTTGGGATCCAAGGTTGTTATGTCATTGTCCCCTGCTTTCATGATCTTTGAGGTGTCGGTTCTTGCCCCAGACTAGAAAACGCAAAACGAAATGCAGACCCAAACAGACGGTCTGTCAGAACAACCTAAGCCGGCTTGATCCACCACGTTTCAGAAAATCTTTTGTGGGCTTCGCAAGCCTGCTTCCTACCCAGCGGTGATTTGTCTGAGATTCGTGCTACTTGCGCTTGGCTCGCAACAATGAGTGTGGGTGAGGCCGCGCAGTTGGTGATTGGATTTAGTTGATGCATGACACACACGGTAGACAACAAACGTGCAAATCTATCGTGGCCATAGCATTATGACGCCGTGAAACATGTTTTGGTTCAAAACACCACACATGAACCCGGTTTAGGATTTGCCTGCCAGGTGATTTGGAGCCCGCGTTTCAACACGTACTCAGCAGATTTGTCGCCAGATGGAAAGGAGGCAGATCGTTTCTTGAAATTGTTCATGACGGAGTCCTCAATCAGCTACAGATACTCTGTAAAAGCGGCGGGTCGTGACAAAACATTTCATTGCAGTCGGCATCAATTATGTCTACCCGTCGAAGCGGGCGTTTCGTGATGGTGTTTCATAAAACATGTTCAATGTTGCAAACATGATGTTGATTTTTCAACCACCGTACCAGTGCTGCGCTCAGGGTATTTTCATGGTCATTGCCTTTACACCACAGTGAAGAACTCAGACAAGCAGATGTCAGATGGATGGCATCATAAATTTGTTTAGTGGTTGGAATTATGTTTTAATCTTCAAATTTTCGGATGACGTTCACATGACACTTTTGAAGTGGATGTCCAAAAACGTTTCATGATCCCGGAGGTTCTTGGCTGGTCTACCGACCGGATGGCTATCTGGGGTGCTTTTGGAAACATACTGTCCAGATTGTCCCTCTTGCCGCCTTTTGGCTGCCAGTTTGTGCTTGCCTAAACATTCTGAATTACCTAGTTCAGGTCTTGGTTTGGTGCCACTGTATTTGACAGAGTAAGTAGATGATGCCTTTAATGTGTTGTTCTTTTGGGGGGGCAAACTTGCAATTTTCTACTAGAAATTTTGAGATAACGACTGCGCTGTTCGTGTGTAGTTGTGACATAGGTGAGCCCGGCACTGGAGCATTCTGCAGGTACAACTGCCAGGCCTGACAATTTCGGCACCACTTTGATACTTTTGATGATTCTAGAGATATATAGAGCATGAATGAATTCAAATAAGAACAGAATCAAACACATCGAACACTATGTTTCTATTCTATAGGTTGGAGGCCATCGCTAGTAGGGTGGAGGCCATTCCCAGCAGGGTGGAGGCTAAGGATAGAGGCAGACCTGAGACCTTCAGTTGGCCAGGCCGCTGATGCGCCGGTGCCTTGCAATGCCTCTGCAGGTCCTAACCTGTGCTCTTCACACCAAAGCCTGTTGGTTTCTCAGTCGATTTCCGCCCAGAAAGCGCAACTAGCAATGCTTAGCATCTTCGTTTGAGGCCTTACTTTATGACCCTATGGCCTAAGTCTCTTGATTCTTCTTCACGTTCTTTGACTGTTTTTCAACTTCTTTTTCTTTCCGGCCTGAAAAGAGCTGAAGCATGCTGGAGGTGTCCTTGCACTGAGGTGTGCTGTGCCGGGTCTCTCAGGGTGTCCCAGTAGCTGCCGCGAGTGCAGTGGATGGTCTGAGAACGCCAATGGACCCGTCCTGTGGCTTTGGGTCACCATCCTCTCGGTGATTGGCCCCTTGCTGTTGCTCCTCTTGCGAAGCAGTGCATGGCATGCCCCTTGGTGATCGGTGATCGGATGCGGTCGTGGGTTCCAGCGTCGGTTTGGGTTTGGGCGGGCGCCGCCGGTGCCTGAGGAACCTTCGGACTCTGCCAAAGAGCGTGCATACACGGTAGCAGACAAAGAAGGTGAATGCAGCGATGAGGCCGTCATAGTGCATCAGTGCATCACCAGTTGAATCACCTGTTTTGAGGGCGAGCTGAGCTGTGCTTCCTTCAGATGGTGGTGTTGATATGGTTTTGATGTTGGAGAAGACTCCGAGGAGGCCAAGAATGGAGAAGATGAGCCTTTGGAAGATGAGACAGAAAGAGCAACGGGTCCGCGTGACTCGTTCCAGGCCAGAAGTCTGTGATATCGATGCATTCCACGGCCTCCAACCTAGAAGCGATGGCCTTCCTACTAGCCCTAGTAGCCATGGCCTCCAACCTACATCTACTCATCCATCTGTTTGTTTGGTATTTTCCATGTTTCTTACTCTAGTTTATTTGACCATGGGTCGAAACCCAGCAGCCGTGCTTGACCCAATAGAATCACAAAGGGACTTACCTTGATGTGTTCGACTGGCCATTTTTCTTCGCGCAATGGAGATGGGTCTTTTAGTTTACTTCGGACTCCGAACATCTCCGAACGTCGGCCGGCAAAGCAACTCACTTCAGTCAGGGCGTTCAGCGGCTAAAGCTACTCCGGTGACCGAACAAAAACCGGTCGCAGAGCCGAAAAAGAACCGCAAAGAACCGCGCGTTCTTCACCATTCGATGCTATGCGACCGGTCGTTCTTCACCATTCGGGTTGTGTTCTGCAGGTGCAAGCCACAAAGCTGGGTGCCAGCGATCCGGTTGAGGCGACGGGACAGCGGGGCGGTGAGGACCAAACGAAGGTAGCTGGCCAAAACGAAGGAACAAGGGACTCACTACAAGTAGTAGGGGAAAAAAAGACGGGAAGAACATGAACAAAGGAAGACAAGGCCCGACAAGGCCCCCGCTCGCTACTAGCGTCCTTGCTAGTAGCGATGCCCGGGTTCCGAGTAGCGATACCCTTTGTTACTAGTAGCGTCCTTGCTACTAGTAGTAATGCCAGGAGCTACTGGGAGCTTCTTGTTACTAGCTTTGGTGGCTTTTGGCTGACAAGTTTTGTTCAACGTTGCAGGTTGAGATGGAAGGCCTTCGCCGGTCGTGAAAATAGATGCGGAGCTGCTGCTGTTGATTTGACACATGAACTCATGAAGAGCATCCTCACCAAAAGCATCTCCACGGCTGAGGTTGGGTGGAAGCACCTTCATCGATGCAACGGACGGCGTCAATCTGCCCACCACCAACACCTACACAGTGACCGGCCTCACCTTGGGCTACTACTATACCTTCAAGGCACGGTAAGGAAGAAGAGAGAGAGGCAGTTGATCTGAATGGAACTCGTGTTTCGGGGTTTTTGAAAGGACAATGTCTAAAGAAAGGAAAAGACAAGATATGGTCTAAAGTCTATAAAGGTCAAAAGTATGGAAAGAAAGAAGAAAAGGAAAGATAACAAAAAGATGCATGATTCTATTTCAGTACTGTAGGTTGTTTTGTGTTTATTGTGTTTTTTTGTTTGCTTTGTTTTTTGACTTTTGTTCTTGCGCGCATTGATTTGATTACACATTTTAAAGCATGCTATTCTGTAAGTCTTTCTGAACCTGAACCTAATGGACAGTTATAACTCACATTTCTTCCAAGAAGCAGCCTTCCAAAGCTTGCGAAACTGCCCTTCACACAATGGGCGGACGGAGGGAGGGACGGAGGGATGGATGGATGGATGGGTTCTCGTACAGATGCTGCCGCAGGTGGCAGCGGTGAATCGTGTCGTGGACACGAATGCTCTCACAGACATCGTGCCAAACTATGCAGAGGCATGGCATGGCATGGATGTTGGTTGCTTGTTCTGTTAGTCGACACGGAGGGACGTGGATTGGGTTGTTTGGGTCCAACCCGGAGTGTTCGGCTGCTCGCCAGGTGAACCTGTACGCAGCAGCAGCTCCTGTTGTGGCCTTAGTTCTGATTAGTGGCCGGTTAGTCTACTGAGATCCATTCCAAACATGTCAAGCAAGATATCTCACTAACATATCATATCTATAATACAATATAACATAATATATATATATATATTGCAAGTGGTGGTGAGAGCAGTGGAATACGGTAGAATATGGTAGAATATA